CAGCCCTGCTGTACTTTTCTAAATTGACTCAGCTGACAATGGGCCTGACCTTGAGGTTCCCCTTGACCAGCATTCTTTTGCAGAGGAAAGGTGGACCTACCCGGAATCGTGCGACCGTGCATTGCTGCAAGGTATAAGAAACCCTGGGGGAAAGTGATATAATTTGACAATTCTTTTTTTTTTTTTAATGTTTTATTTATTTCTAGGAGGGAGAGAGAGAGAGAGAGAGAGAGAGAGAGAGACAGCATGAGCAGGGGAAGGTCAGAGAGAGGGAGTCATAGACTCCGAAACAGGCTCCAGGCTCTGAGCTGGCAGTCAGCACAGAGCCCGACGCGGGGCTCGAACCCACGAACTGCGAGATCATGACCTAAGCGAAAGTCGGACGCTTAACCGACTAAGCCACCCAGGCGCCCCGTGACAATTCTTTTAATAAAAGCACCATCAACTACAATGCCCCCATATGAGCCAATTTCATGGAGTTATAATTATTTAGTAATTATTTATCAAAATTCCGAATATATCGATATTTTGATTGTGTACTCTTTGGTATATGGAATAGCTTTTAAACACAGGGGCGCCTGTGTGGCTCAGTTGGGTTAAGTGACTTCAACTCAGGTCATGATCTTGTGGTTCATGGGTTCAGAGCCTGGCGCCTGCTTCGGATTCTGTGTCTCCCTCTCTCTCTGCCCCTTCACCACTCACACTCTGTCTCTCTCTGTCTCTCAAAGGTGAATACATGTTAAAAATTTTTAATTAATTAATAAAACAGAACATTGGGGTTACAGAAAATATTATGCACATATTTTAACTACAAAGTGTGGTACAGTTATCAAAAGATTTTTGAAAATAGCACTATCTGCACCAATACCCATTAGGATAAATTTTATTGGGGAAAAGGAATGTAAATATGATTTTAAGCAGAAGACAAAGAATGATAAAACTTTTACCATGAAGGAAAAACTTGTTCATTAGAAATAAAATGAGACCATCAATCATTATATTTCTATTCCATTTGATATACTTAGATACATGTCTTACAGTAATACACCAGTTTTCACTTTAAAATTTTAATATTTAAGCTATGCCAAAAATTACAACCTTTATACTATTTTCACAAGATGAAAAATATTAGATGTTTAATAATATTAGCAATTCTTTTTTTCACCCCATAAATCTTCGATGTGCAACCAAAAATGTTTGAAGATCTCTTTCCTAGAGAAACTCAAACCCACCAGGCTACCTATGTGAGAATAGTCACAACTGTCCATCAATGGAACAGGTAAAGAACTTATGCAGACTATGCATTACTATATTGCAATTATTATTATACAATGAAAAGTCAGCATAAAATATAGCTTCCCACAAAAGCATTAATGAGTCTCTCAAATTCACTGCTGAGCCAAAGCAGCAAGACAAAAAAAAAAAAAAAAATTCCAATGATAACATTCGGTTATGTTCATAAACAAGCAAAACTCAATTATATTGCTTAGGAATAAATTATGTCCCTACTCCCAAGAATTCCCTTGCCCTCCCCCTTAAGAGGATTACAAAGTGCATGAGACTTGCACTACTTCCTTATTGATTTTACATTTCCACCCTTTTGACTTTGGGTCAAAGGCTTCACCATGTGACATGCTTGAGTTAATTAAAAGAGTAGACATGAGGCTTGTTGCATTCAATCAGAGCCACCAAAGGGTCCTGAGAATGTCTTCCTGTTCTGCTCTTCGGTGTTTCAAAAAGAACTGTTCTTTCCATTTGGATTCGGGAATGAAGAGACATAGGGAATATGTATCCTATATCAAATCATAACCCTCATCAGTACAAGAAAGACATGTTTGCTTTTTGGAAGCCACTGAGGTGTCACTATTGTTCATAATTACGGCAAAACTATTATGATGCAGTGTAGCTGTTAAAACTTGTAAGTAAAGCATGGAAATCACACAAAAATGCAGGCAGTGGGGAGGGAAGAAGTCGTGACGCAGAAGAGGTGGGAGACGGAGGCTTGGGTAGTGTTAAGAGGTGCACGCTGGAGAACTACTCTTTAAAGGACGTGCAAATATTTTGCACACTTGGGCTCCTTTTCTCCATTAAAAATGTAAAAACAAGTAAAAGACATAACCTTGTACGAGTTTGTTTGACCTTGGCCTGACTCATTTCCAAAGTAAATTACTCCACATCCCCACCCTCTTTTCCGTTTGTGTCATATTAAGCAGCAGCAGCAGATGTTCTTATGAGATATCTGGGAAGGGAACATAGCTAAACTACAAGTTAGTCCTCACACTCACTTTCTTGCTTTTCATTAATTCACTCACTAAATACGTAGAGGTCCGTGGATAGGTGCCCATCACGTAGAGGTATGGGTAGAACAAAATGAACCTAGCCCTCCCCATCCTGGAACTGACGTATACGTGTGTTTGTATATGTACGTATACATGCATCTCCTGGCAACAAGCGCTATCGACGATCATGCTGCAAAGTGAAAAGACAAATGACAGGTGTGTGACTTTCAAGACGGTGGTCAATGAAGCCGATGAAATGACGCATGAGAAAGAAAGAGGAATCGGGGAAACGATCCTGGAAGGGGAATACGGAGGTGCGCTGATGACACGACAGGAACCTGCTTGGCAAGCTGAAGGTCAGGAGGGCGGTCGATGGTGGCGGAGGTGTGTGTCCGTGTGTTACATGGTGCAGTGCTTTCAGTGAAAGAACTGGCTGATGCTCCTTATGGGGAAGCCCTAGAATCCCGGCAGCTTTGACGGGCTCTCAAATGTTCAGTATTACCTGCACTTCATAGCCTTGACTCCCAGGTATCTCTTCCAAGTCCGAAAGGCACGGACAACACTTGATCAAAGTTGGGCAAGAGCTCTGAACAGCACTCACCAGGAGGTGTTTTGCATACTTGAACTGCACCGAGGGATACAAACAGCAGCAACCAGGAAATCAATATAAACTGGGTACCATCACTGAAACTTAAAAAATCAAAATCACTCTAAGGAGGAAATACTAGGAAGAAAGATGAGTCAGGTAATTCTAATACTCCATACGTGTTTTAGAACCTAACTCCTAAAATCTAATATGCTCACCTTCAGAAAATCCCGAAAGCCTACACCCTACAGATAAAAATATATACGTAGAAAATACTAAAAAGTTATGGGACGCTTCTGGGCCAAGCTACTTAAGGAGTAAGGCCTCTCCACCTTCCCCCACTCCAGCCAGCCAGGTTGAAGAGCTGTGAGTCCCCGGGGATGGCCGTCCTGAGGTAGGACACACCCAGGTCCTTCGGTCACACCTTCTGGAAAGCTGCCTGAACACCACCTCAGCTCCTTCCCACCTTAGCTTCCTCAGAGCAGGAGATGTTCTCAAACGTTGAGGATTTTCTGTAACAGCAGCTAGTGTGATCTGAATTAATGCAGAGCATCTGAGCTCGCAAATGTGGAGCTGAGGGCAGCGAGCAGGTGGCTCTGTCTCTCCCAACATCATGGTAATTGTGAAGCGTTCCTGGCAGGTGAACGTGATGCCCAGAGGATTTCCCACCCGCCCTGTCTCTGCAGACGCAGCAACACAACAGCTGGAGGGGCTTGAAAGCAGCAGCAGGGGCTGAGCAACGGGACGAGGCCCCAACTTCTCAAACTAACTTGGGGGCCTCTTCTAATGGGATGCAGTGCCCTCTAAGCCCCAATGACCTGGTTTTCGGATTCGCGTCTCAGAACCCTCCTCCCCCCCACTCCCACCCATCACGTTTGCACTCCCCTCCTTTCCCACGTGGGCTACAGCCCTTCCCAGCCCACAGGGCGAGGGGCACGGGGCTGGTGGCCCTTGGAACAAAGGAGCAGAGGCTCCCCCTGCCCATCAGCGCGCCTTTCTAGCCCTAGATGCCTCACCAGCAGGCTGTGCAGCGACTTCCGCACACGTTCCAGGATGCCGCTTTGCTACCCCCAGGAGGAGGCAAACCCAGCTCGGAAGCTCCTCTAAGCCTGAGGTCTCGTCAGACAGGACAGGGCACACCCGCCGAAGCCATACACTTTCTTTCTGCAGGAAGAACTCGGGCATTGGGCAACGGTTACTGAGCCCCGAATTCTTGCTTTCACCTAGGACCTGGAGGGCTGGGAGGTAAGAGGACCAGGCGTAAGGTCTACACAGGCAAGTTCTGCCCTCTGCTATCCTCCCAGATAACGTACACATCGGCTTAAGGAAAAAAGCCACCCCTAAAGTCAGCTGATTTTCTTTCCTTGAGGGACTTCTGTTTTGGCTGAGTTCCCTGGTAAACGTCCTGTGTCTTCTTAGAAACTCCTCTCTCTTCCGAGGTACGTGAAAGAGAGATAAAAAGTGGGACTTCCCCCAGATCTGCAGGTTCAGGGCAGCCCCTCGAGCCAGATGTGTGAGGGCAGGGAGCCAAACCAGCCGCTGTGCCCAAACTGGAAGAGGCCGGGCAAACTGGACCTTCGAATGGAGGCAGCTGATTTCCACACCCATTTCTTCAGGAGCCAAACACGCATCTCGGGCATTTTCAGAGTCGGGTCTATGTTGTGTTTTCCACTAAAGTAAAGCACTTTTCAGATCACCCTTGCCCCTCGTCACTTCCCCTCGGCTCACTCATGATCAAAAGCGGGGGTGGGGGGGTGGTTAGAACACGGGCCTCAGAGACAGGAGCAGCGGCCGGTCGTGACCGAGCCATCTAACCCGGCTCCAAAGGACACAGGACTCGATCAAACGTCACCAGGAGCTCAGGAAGGAAAGCAGACAGCGCTCAGAGAGCAGGCGGCAAGGCAGCCCCATGGTTTGGCCACAAAGACAAAGGACTTCTTCATCATCAGTGTTTATTAGGCGCCTGTTCCGTGCCAGGCGCTGGGCAAGATACAAAGATAAATCCAACAAGACTGCCCTCAAAGAGCTTACAGTCTAGGAGAGGAGCATACAGTGTCTGGAGAAGACATTTTAGATGTAAATAACCTCCCTCCCCTGCCCGCCCCCCCCCAAAAGGAAAACAAACAAAACAGGGCTTAAGTTTACTAGACTTGGCTTCATTTTCTTTTAGTTCTGCAGCTTTCACAGAAAAGGCGTAAATCTGAAAGTCTTTTAAAATGCACACTTTTACTCGTAAACAAATTCATCTTCATTAGAAAAAAGGCTGTTTATTGCAATTACGAAAATCCTCAAATGTATCTTCAGTATTTTCATGAATTTCTTTTTCTTACGAACCTGTTATTTGTAAACAATTTCCCAAATTGCTTCAAAGCGTGCAACAACTTTTTGAAAGAGATCTCTTTAGACCCACCGGCAGTCACATGTACCGTACAGGCCCTCTACCAAAAGCAGAGCTTCTGGAACAAATAGGTGGTGTTTTCCTACCAAAGTTCACAGCTTACGGTTTTTCTCCCTACACTCATTTCATGTCCATTCAAAATATAATAAAATAGCACCTCCAGTAACCTATACCTCAAGACCCAAAGCTTTCGATCACGAAGCTTTAGACACAACAGTGGAAAAAAAAAAAAAAAGGATCCATTAGAACCTTAACGCCCATCTTCGCGCTATCACTAAGCTGGCCAGCCCCACCGAAGAGCTGTACAATTCCAAGAGGACATTTGCAATAATCCACTTTCCTATTACACTCTTAGGAATTTCTGAAGTTTCCTGTTACTTTCCTTTAAGCATAACGAAACCAAACGTAATTGACTGCGGAAATAAAAAAGCACTGATAGCATTTATCCAGGCTAGAGAGAAGGGCGGTGTGAGCACACTGCGAGTGAGTTTCTTTGTAACCAGAATTCTTTTAGGTCGGTACTTAGGTTCTCCTTCCCCAGGATCCTCTCTGGGCTCAGACCTGCCTAATACTTAGGTTTCTGTTAAATCTTGAAGCCTTGGGCTTTGTAAGACTTCCTGAAAACACAGACCGAAGGGAGATAAGCTGACCAGACTGAACACAAGGCCGTGTGTTTTCACGTGGAACCGTGGTCCTCCCACAAAGCCCTGCGCACCCAAAAACGAGTTCCTGAGACAGAGGTTTCTTATGCCCGTGTTGGAACAGTGTTGTCCTGAGCAGTTTCCCGCAGTTCAGTAAACCAAACACTGACCACCGTGCTAGCGGGGCCGCTCTGCTCCTCTTCCTCCCCAAACTCCAAAGTGAGCGAACTTGCCAACGAACTTCAAGTCAACTGCAACATTCGCCTCCAGCATCCTAACACGTGCGCCATCACAGAGGCTAAGGAACCAGCACACCGGCGCCCGCCTCTGGGTAGAACCGCAGGCTTACCGTGGTGCCCGCCTTCACGAATGCACCCGAGTGTTCAGCTGCGACGTCTATGGACACTACGCTTCCATGTGCAGTATCTGTACAAACGATACGCAGTTACATCTTCTGGGTATAAAATCTAACAGAAATACAGTCAAATCAGGAGGAACAGTTCTGTGTTAGTCTTCTGGTCGCCTTCTTGTCTTCACGTTACTAAGGTGCTTTTCTGTTCAGTCTCTGCTGAACAGATCCCTCGAATTTCAACTTGTGTGGTCACAGAAGAACCAGCTCCATCATTTTAAAGACAAAGAAACCGAGACCCTGAAGAGTTGACTGAAGATGCTGGGGGCCACCCCCAGTCTACTATCCGCAATCCAGTACCTATGACATTGACAAGGCCTCACTGTTCACACACAGTAGCTGTTAAAACCAACGTCAGTAAATGGTGAGGTGTTTCATTTGAGGTAAATATAACAATTGTTAGCTTAAACCCATTCTTAGAAAACATGAGCCATTTTTGGTTACTGCTGAGAGTGTAACTACAGTGTCTGGTCTTGCTTTTCAGGGTAACTGTTGGTACCTGCTTCCTTGAGGACGTCTGTTTGTTCATGGAAGGAAAAATAATGTTAAACATGAGCATATATTCAACCATGTATTACTGTGTTTAATCTCTAAGTTATTTCCACACACACTGGATTCTTCTTTTCACAAAGTTAATTTACACAGAGAATGAAGTGAGAGATCATCTCTGTGTAAGTTGTCGGCAGCTTGAAAATTAGTCACTTCCCTCCAGGATGGGAAACCTCTTTTAGGAGCGGCCGAAAGGGGGTCCAGGGTCACATAAAACATAAGGAAAATTGTAAGTGAATTCTGATTAGCCTGTAATCAGAGCTACAGGAGAAAGGACAGGCTTAGAGAACTAATCTGAGCGAAGTTTTAACTCCCTTCCCTGCTAGCTATGTAAGTGCAAAGCAATTCAACCAACTTCCGGGTGTCAGTCTCTTCGTCTGCAAACAGCTATCATTTGAACTACCTACCTCATTAGATTATCGAGAACACACAGTAAAATATGAGAGTGCTTCTAAGTGGAAAGGCACAACAAATACTGATTATTATTACCCCAATAATTACTAAAATGTGGACCTACAAAAAATTTTAAATCATCACCACTCAGTGGCACTAGGCATGCTCACGAGGACACACTTAACTCAGAAGGTAAACCATGCAAACATTTTCAACTTTCAATGGCAATGCTAAAAACTCACACGCAGATAGAATACAAAGGAACGTTTTTAGGGAAAGCACAGAGACACACATATTTGGTTGGCTTAGGAGACTCTGAAGTGAGTTAGAATGATTTCCAGCTTCTAAAGAGGTATTTAGTCTTTAAGCAGAGAAAGCTGCTCATCAGCTGTGAGAGGGCCACGCGTCACGGGGCATTCCTGAGACACATGGAACAAAATCCCGTCGCTCTCATCTGTTCTGTCAACCAGGTGTCTCACAAATAACCCTTCTAATGTGTCCAGCAACGCGACACACCCTCAGAGAGAAATGGCCGCCTCTGAACCACATCTGATGTGAACTTGCATGAATGCGAGACATAAAATAGAGTTCTCGTAATTCCACAGGCACCTAAAAGTTTTCACTACTTGTCATGCTCACTTTCTATTCCATAAAGAATCATGGACATACAGGGAATACCTCAAAGGTTATTTTTTAACAAATCTTTATTATGCAGTTAGTTGTCTTATTTTTATAATACTCCACTCTGGTGGCATTCGTGTGTGTGTGTGTGTGTGTGTGTGTGTGTGTGTTTTGTTTGTAAAATTGAGTTTCAATAGCACATTAACCTTTCAAATATGCCTTTTGATGTTAAGTCTTATGCCACCCTCCCCACCAAAAAATAACAACCAAAAGACAAATGAAGATACAAGGGAAGAGAAAAACGAGATAGGATTCATTAAGTATAAAAATATGTTGCTTCAAATTCAGAATAATTTAATAACTCTTCGTTATTTCATAGGTATCTGGAAATGGGACAGACACGTGACCTGATCCCGTCACAAGAGGTAGAATTCCAGCATTTGGTACGACGTTCCAGGACAGGGTTAAGGTGACATTCCTGTTTCCCCTATAAGATACAATGATAAACAGATGTCAGCAGAAACATTTTCAGCTCAGTGAAAACATTTTAATTCAAGCACGGAGGTTCAAATACTACTGAACCGGTGATTTGTAACTGGAATCCTCATGTACCCACAGAAGTTTTCTCAGCTCTTCTGAAATCCCAGCGACCCGTTATTCTATTTGCAGGCATCCCGTGAGGGCCCGACCTAAACTCCCACAGTTAGTTATTACAGCCACCAGCCGAAAAGCTTAAATGAGTAAAATGCAGACACTATCCAGAGATTTGAGCTAGATGTCAGCAGGCAACGATCTGCAATCTAATTCTATCCTTATCTAGATTGGAAACGCACCACAATCTCTCACGGCTGGCAATTTTTCATTTGTCAAACCAGAGCGTTGGTGAAAACAGCTCTCCCCTAAAATCCTTCCCCACAGAGCTTAAGAGCTAAACAGTGACCGCAAGAGACCAGTCATTCTAATCCCTTCACGGTGCACGGAAGGAAACTGAGGTTCAGGGAAGAGAAGCGCAGTGAAAGCCCTCAGCGTCACCTCCTGGACAGATGCGCCACGTCTCTAGTCAGGGTCCCCGAGAAATTCCCTCCCCACGTTCCATGAGGAGCCCCCGCAGGTGAGCAGCCCAGGCCCCCACGCACTTGGGACCAGAAGCGGCCGAGGGCCTTTCTTAGCATGACCAGGGTTCACAGACTGCAAGACACTGAGCTCTTCCTAAAGAGCTGTTTCTACGACACGATTCCCAGCCAGTCACCCAGTTCGGATCTGCATAAATACTTTCCTTCTCTCTCCACCGTCCTCTAATCGTTTTCTTCAAAATAAAATAAAAACTACTTTACACCGTTCTCTGCCCGGCACATTTAATTACACGTAAAGGACAAAGAATTGCTCACTTGAGGCCATTTCCATCGTCAAAGAAAAAATATTTTGTTTTCATATCTTTCAACAGCAGCTTTGGATTATCACCTCGCAGAACAATCTTGTCCCAAAGGACTACCTGGTTCAGAGCCTGCGTTGAAATGAAAATGAATTAGATAGCTCATCAGAAATTGCATCTGTCACTTCAACTATAGACGGTGCTAAGCAAATAGTTTAATTTATATTAATGAGTGCCACTTTTGAGGGAGCTGCTAGAATCTTTAAGCACATAAAACAGTAACGAAGGGGTACGCACGAGGAGTTGAGCTTTGCTGGGACAGAAGACGATTCCCCGACTGGAAATCGCTGCCTTTGCTACGGCCACTGTTACTTAAGGCCCCGCAGCTTCCTACGACGGCTTAGACCTGCGCGCTCTCTAGAGCGAGGCCCTTGGTGAAACGGAAGGGATCAGAAAATCCCCGGAAGGAAAGCATTCTCGGGAATCACTTTTCCTGCCCAGCTCAGTGTGTACCGTGCAGCGTGTCAGGGAAACTGAGGCAATTAACTCTTCCTGTTCCATCATGCTGTTAATAGGGGTCACTGCTCCCACATTAGGTCAGGAATACTTACATATCTCCAAGGTCTTTAATTATCAAGGAATCGCTAAAGAAATGAAGCCTTCTAAATATGTCTCTTTTAAATTAATCGTGGGCACTTCACGGTTTCATTTATGGCAATATTCTAGAAGTTAATTCTTTGAAACCACTATTTTGACATATCAAAAGCAAGTTCTGTTTGGAAAATGAGGGGCATATAATGAAGAGAAAACACATTTGTGTTCACTACTAAATCTCAAGAAATCTGTTCTTATTAAGCTATTATCCATTATTAGCCTGGGAAGGCCAACTGTTAGCATGTGGCGACCACACTCACTGAAAAGAAATGTGGAAGTAATTTCTAAGAGGTTTCAAATCTTCACCATAAAACCGCTAAGATTAAACAGAAACAATATGACTGAAGAACATATAATCAAAAATATGCCAAAATGAAATGAAATTTTATGTACATTTAGTCACTCAGCGAAGCAATGACCAGTTACGTTCCAAGTTGTATTAACTTACTAGTCACACTGGGGTAAACCAGAATTATGAATATAATTTAGGTACACTTGTCGCCAAGAAGGTGACATAAATGTTGATAATTTGTTGAGACGTGTAGAATATGTGTGTACACAGTCATTACTCTTACCTTCAGAAAAAGCCTTTCTGTTTGTTTCTCTTAACATTTTGTTGATTCTCAAGGGCAGGGATCAAAACTTATTCAACCCAATAATCCTGGTGCGTAACAAATTTTGTGGCATAAAAGATATGCTCAAAATAAACGTAAAATGAATTGAAATATTAAAATGGCAGTTAACGAATCAAACCAATCAATAGATAAGGTAGGTTCAGTTCAAATAAAATACAGAAGAAGACTCATTCTAACGGCAGACTATGTGGTAACAAACATGAGTGACTTCGGTAAAACACCACAGAAGCACACTGTAATTCCACGGATTTCACTTTCGCATTTTAATTCACTTACCACAGTCATTCACTTGACACTTTCAGGGATTTCTGTTCTAGAGACATTCTAGATAAATATCTCAACCCCTACTCTTTTTTTTTTAATGTTTTATTTATTTCTGAGAGAGAGAGACAACATGAGCAGGGGGTCAGAGAGAGAGGGAGACACAGAATCCGAAGCAGGCTCCAGGCTCTGAGCTAGCGGTCAGCACAGAGCCCGTAGCGGGTCTTGAACCCACAGACCGTGAGATCATGACCTGAGATGAAGTCGGATGCTTAGCCGACTGAGGCCCCCAGGGGCCCCTCAACCCCTACTCTTGACTGCAAACAAGCTCTAAATCAGACTGGACCAGTAAGTTTCAATCACAAATTAAGAATTCTAGTGGTGTTTTAATCTAACAGTTTAGTAGCTTTTCATTACAAAACTTCTGATAAACTCTAGTTTATGATTAAAAAGATTTAATAAAAAGATTTAGATACTGAATTGGTGAATCCTATACACCTCCAAAGCAAAGGGAAATATTTCTCAACAGACAGAAATGTTAACTGGAGTTATATGGCTTCGTAAGACTATCAAAATACTTCACTTCGAGGGCGCCTGGGTGGCTTAGTCGGCTAAACGTCCGACTTTCACTTAGGTCATGATCTCACGGTTCGTGGGTTCGAGCCCCGCGTCAGGCTCTGTGCTGACTGCCAGCTCAGAGCCTGGAGCCTGTTTCAGTCTGTGACTCCCTCTCTGACCCTCCCCTGCTCACGCTGTCTCTCTCTCTCCTAGAAATAAATAAAAATATTAAAAAAAAAAAAAACAACTTCACTTCGAAAGAAAAATATAAATATTTGGAAGGATTTTAAAATAATCTGACATGATTCAAAAATGTGTCGTCTTTACGGTTTTTGACCATATATGGGGGTAATGAGAGTTGTAAACACAGCTCACAGATTCTGTGGGTCCAAACACCTTGCCGTCTCTTCTCCAGTCCAAGTTGTGGAAACACTACTTTATCTTGAAGAGTGGATGCTCGTGCAGCAATGCCACGCTCCCATTCCCTAGAGCACCCAGAATTCGGCAACGTCCCTTCTGATCTATCGCTGGAAATGGTCTCCAAAGATTTCCAATCACAAATTATTCTGAGCACTAGCCCCAAATGATTATTTACAAATGATGTGCCCAGTACACATTACTATTATCAGATGATATCATCCCTGATAGTCAATGCAAATTTGCATTTCAAATAGTATTCTTGACCGATGTTGAATTTTCTCAGCCAACTTTTTATTAGATCTCAGCTCTCTCTTTATTTAATCCATTAATGTGGCTGAGCAGCTCCCAAGAGAAAGAAACCCATCCGCTCAGCCCCTTTCCTGTTGCTTACATGTGGCTGAACCATTCACATTATTTTCAACCTGTGATTTCTTTGCAAGAATCTTTTAACCCATTTTTTTCCATTTGGTGAAGATCAGTTTACTTAAAAATAGGTAATATCAGAGGCGCCTGGGTGGCTCAGTCGGTTAAGCACCCAACTCTTGATCTCGGCTCAGGTCATGATCTCACAGTTTGTGGGCTCGAGCCCCGTGTTGGGCTCTGTGCTGAGCATGGAGGCTGCTTGGGATTCTCTCTGTCTCCCTCTCCCTCTCTCTCTCCCCCTCTCTCTCTCTTTCTCTCTCCCCCCCCTGCACATTCTCTCTCTCTCAAAATAAATAAGTAAACTTAAAAGAAATAGGAAATATTACCCATGTCACTGGATTACACTCCACACCCTTAAAAAATGCTGAAAATGGATGAAGAAATGCACTCAGCACGGTCCACCTCCTCTTTCTCCTGAGGCCGTGCGTGTTTTAGGAGACGTGTAACCATCTGACTTACGCACTGAGTGTGAGTATTAACGTCAGCCCACATCGCAAGTATTGGTAGAACTTAACTTCTTCCCCTTTTATTTTAAACAGAGGAATACCCAGATCACGTTCTCCTTTCTCAAGCATGTGAGGAGTGTGGAGTGTGGAAGCTGCCGCTCCACCCTAACATCCAGCAGAAAGCTAATGAACTGAAAAACTGCTAACTCCTTTTTAGATCCCTAGGAGAGGAAAAACTAGCTTTCAATGGCTTTCCTTCCATACATATGGACTGCCCTGTCTGCACCCCAATCTGCGGACCACAATACTAGAGATAGAGAAGCAGAAAAAAGACAGAGGCTACCTAACGAGGTGTTTTCTTAGTAGCATCACCTCTCCAGAGGCCTGTGATTTTTACCAAACTCCTCAGGTCGGATAGTCTGTGTATATAAAATTTATATTCTCGGGGCACCTGAGTGGCTCAGTCGGTTGGGCATCGGACTCTTAATTTGGGTGCAGGTCACCATCTCACTGTCCATGGGATTCTAGGGATTGTCTCTCTCCTCTCTCTGCCCCTCCCCCACTTCTCTCTCTCTCTCAAAATAAATAAACATTTAAAATAAATTAACAAATAAATAAAATGCATATTCTTTCATAATTAGGTTTTAAAGATCTATTAAAAGTCATATGCGTACGTATACATATACTTACATTATTTTTTGTTGAATATTCTGCTGATAAATAAAGAAACAATTGCTTAACATTCCAATCGAATATGTTCTCCAGATGTAAATAAATTAAGGAATCTATAAATCATAAATAGGACACCACTTTTGAACCAATCTTATTAGTAATTATCCAAGCAATACTAGTACTAAAATAGAAAAAAAAAGGAGAGGCAGGCCAGAAACATAGTGAGACACTAATTTAATAAAAATACATAAAATATAAATATACTGTAAAATCTAGCTCATTTCAAAAAATACAAATATCAGCAGGATTATTAGCTTTATCCCCCATGCCTCTAAGTATTATTAGCTGAGATATTTTGGTTCATAATAACAGAGCAATACAAAATTTAGCTTTCTGTAATATCGACTAAGTCTAAAAGAAAGAGGATCTAATCTTTGAAGCACATTCGATTCTTTCCATGGATGTTCTAAAGGATAACCAGCCCTCACCACCTAAATTTAGTGATAAGCAAACATGACTAGTTCACGTTAATGAAACGAAGTATAATAAATTGTCCACGTTGCCTTTGGACACGTGCCAACAGAGATCAAAATGTCTCAGTCCACGAAGTGCTTTGGTAAGAATATGAACTTGAATACCAATTTGATTTCATCAACCTCCCAGACCGAAGGGAAAAAAACTCATGAGGATTCAACACCGAGCCGTGTCACTGTGAAACGAAAGGAGTGAAAGTTCGCATTTTTATTAAGTATTACATGTAAATGGTTAAGTCATTTCATTACGTGATTTTCATACTGACAGCAGCATGTCCATTTCATTCTGCGTTTAGACATGTGTATCTGCTAAGAATCACTCTCCTGCAGAATGGAGAAGTCTAGGAGAGCTCTTTAGAAGAAAAGGCAGAGGTTCAAGTCCTAGCAGCAGCATTAAGAAAATCTGACTAACTACAAATCATGAGACTGAGAATATTTAAATTCAGTTGTTGAGAGATGAGAAATTTCCCTGTAATTCTCCAGCTACACAAAGCTACTACTTCCCTAAGAGATCCGAGCTCCTTACTGGTTTTAAAACGAGACGAAGACTTAAAAGCAGACATACCGGGGCAACGGAGTGGTTCCGTCGGTTAAGCGTCCGACTTCAGCTCAGGTCATGATCTCACAGGTGGTGGGTTCGAGCCCCACTTCAGGCTCTGTGCTGACAACTCAGAGCCTGAAGCCTCCTTCAGATTCTGTGTCTCCCTCTCTCTCTGACCCTCCCCTGCTCATGCTCTGTCTCTCTCTGTTTCTCAATAATAAATAAATGTTAAAAAAAAAAAAAAGCAGACATACCAAGTTGACCACAGGACTGTTCTCAGTGCACTCTATTTCCTGAAAAAGTGCCTAGAGAGCTAATTCCTAGTCTCCCTCTAAACCCAATACTTTATTTCTAAAAAATCCAGTTAAAGTAATTCCACGGCAGTAAAGAGCCGTATCAGGTTAACTCCCCGGAAGCATTATCTGCTTCGACTGTTCAGTTGCTTTACAAAAGTTCAGACGGTGCAATCACCCGTCTGAGGTCTTAAACAGGCAGGTGGCCGGACTGGAAGTGACAGGGCACAAAGCTGCCAAGGCCCGAGAAGACGGAAATGGCCAAACTGAACGGTTTCCAAAGGGAGAACCTCAAGATAAAGAGAAAATATTAAATCTTCCTCATTTTATTTTTTTAATTTTTTTTAATGTTTTATTTATTTCTAGGAGAGAGAGAGACAGCGTGAGCAGGGGAGGGTCAGAGAGAGAGGGAGTCACAGACTGAAACAGGCTCCAGGCTCCGAGCTGGCAGTCAGCACAGAGCCCGACGCGGGGCTCGAACCCACGAACCGCGAGATTATGACCTAAGCGAAAGTCGGACGCTTAACCGACTAAGCCACCCAGGCGCCCCAAATCGTCCTAATTTTAAATTAATTCTCTTAAATATTAAGATTTCTCCGACTCCTATTATAAAAGTACTTGTAAAGAAAAGATAATGGTAAAATGCTCATACGGCTTACCAACACCTATTTTGATAATGACCTTCTAAACCTTAAGAGATGCCAATTCAGTTTTTTAACCTATGTTTCCCTCTGCTACCGTACAATACGATCTATTACTTGGGACTGTACATGGAAGATTCCATCTGGTAGGCTGAGCCCTGGTGCCATCTTTCCTTCTGTAATCCAAACGATCTGATTTTATTTTTTCTTTCCGAGATACAACTTACAGCTTTCAATCTACTTAATGTTTCTGTGAAGAATGTAAAGTAGTTTCACAAAATAGTAACTGAAGAATCCATAAATGATTTTTTTCAAAGTGTGAATAGAAGGTCTGAAGACTCTTACGAATAGAAACATAGGTATAGAAACTAAAGTATGGCTGATTCAGGATATCATCAAAATTCACTAGGCAACATGCGTCTCATCATACAACTATAGAGAAAGCAATAAAATATTTTCTTAAAGGATATCAGCAGTTATATCAAATGTAATGAATCCCAGATCACTTCGTTCTCTAGGTCCAGTGAAGTCTTCTACATTTTTTCTAAAAACAAAGATAAAAGTTTTACCATCTTTCAAACGCCACAAGACGTAAAATGCACAGAATTCCATAAAGCTGGAGGCACAGGTGGAATCCCACAGAGAAACAAGCAAAAATCAGAAAAACTTGTAAGTGTGAAAACAGGATAAAAACGTGAATCCAATATAAAATGAGGTCTTTCACTATATTCACACAGCTTAACAAAGAATCCCTGGCAAAAACGGTGTGTGTGTATGGGGGGCGGGGGGAAGATGGTGTAAAAACTGCTCCACGTGTAAACACTTGCTGTCAAGCACTTTGGTAGCAGGGGTAGAAGGTTCCAGATGACTACAGGTGGTGTGGAAGAAACTAAGATATGATGATAACCGCTGTTTTTTACTGAGTGCTTATTAGGTGTCTGGGTCCAGTCAACAACGTATTTTCCTTACGATCTCCAATAATCCTTGCAACAAGCCTACAAGTTGGGTATTGCTTTTATTCCAGACAAAAGCACATGAAGGCCCAGGACGGTATGCAACTTGCTCAGGATTAACAACAGCTAACAGTTCCGGTGTCTCTCTGCACCCAAAAACCAGTGTCTAATAAGCAGCACTAAAGAGAAAACGGGGGTGGCGAGGCCGGGGGTGGGGTCGGCGGTTGGATGACGGGCTCGCGCGCGCCTCCGACAAAGACACCGGGGAACTAACGTGGAAGCGCCGGGCGAACTTGACGCCAGACGGACAGGGAAGAGCGGAGAACCGGCGCAAAGGGCTACGTGTCCAAAAGGAAAGTGCCGGAGGGCCGACATGGAGAAGGACAGACAGCCAAAGGCGTTCCCGGGATGACCAGGTCATTCTGGAACTCCGTTTGGGGCATCTCCGCTGACTGACTCCGAGCCTCGCCGAGGCGCCGCGTCGGAGCGCGGGGACCGAAGGCGCTCGGCGCCTCGCGACCTCCCCGGCCGGCCTCCCGGCAGCTGCGAGCGAGGGCCGGGCCGGGGGGCAGAACGAGAGTCTCGGGGTGTGGGGTCGGGGGGGGGGGGACCCGCCCCGGAGCCCGGCGGGCGGGCGGGCGGCGGCGCCGCTCTGCTGGTGTGTGGCTCCCTCATTGGCCGGGCGAGGGCGGGGGGAAGTGAGGAACAGGAAGGAAGCGGAGGCACCGGCCTGAGTAACACTCAAAATTAAAATTTAAGAGCAAGCCCGGGAATCTGCGGCCGAGGGGTGGGAGCTCCAGGGGCGGCCGGGCAGCCCGCGACGTCCCCCCGGGCGCCCGCCCGCGGCGGCGACGGCCGCTCGGCCGCGGGGAGGGCGAGGGCGGCCCCGGGGCGGCGCGGGCTGCCCTGCCCCGCGGTGGGGGGCCCCCGGGCCGCGGCGCCCACCCCGGCCGGGTCCAGGCGCCCCGCCCCGCCGGCCGGGCCTCGGCCGCACTCACAGCATGATCCGCGAGACGTGCAGCCGCACCGGGACGCTCCGGTCTTTGAAGGCGGTGGTGATGAAGCAGCCGAAGGTGAGCGCCGCCATCACGCTCAGGGAGAAGGCGAACAGCGAGTTCGCCCGCGACAGCACCGTGTTCATCGCGACCGTCGGCCCCGAGCCCCGTTCCACACGCACACCGGGGACCCCGTTCCGGCCGCGGACCGGCTCCCTGCGATCCGCGCCGCCTGCGCCCGCGCGCGTTCCGGGAGCGCGCGCCGCCACGGCCCCGCCTCCTTTCCGGTCCTCCGGCGCGCGCGCGCCCGCCTCCCGGGAACACACCCACCCTCGCGGCCTATCGCCTCCACCAATCAGCGACGAGCAAGGGAGGGGTGGGGTTTCGCCACGGAAGGCCCGCCCCCTGCCCTCGCTTCCTCTCGTTAAGCGGCTTGGCTCGCCCACCCTCCTCCCCCGGATCCTGTGGTCGGCGGGTCAGCCCCGGGGCGTCTTGAGTGCCGGTACCTCATTAATTTGCACTTGAAACTAGCAGCGAGACGAGTCCGCTCGGAGTGTGTTCTGAGGCGGCGCGGCGGAGGCAGCACTTCACCAAACTCTTACCCTTGGTCCAATCGGGTCAGAGTCAGAACGGTTTTTTGAAGGGTGTGGGACAGAACGAGGGGCCGCCGGTTCCCCCAAAGCCATTTGCCTTTACTTCCCACGTCAAACCTTAGTCCAGTTCCCAGAAATACTTTGCCTTCCAGCTGCAGCTAAAGCTGTTTTTTGACGGTAAGGGCTGCTGCTACCGATTTAAATATTTGCATTTTAACGTGGCATTTCCCATAACTAAAAATTAACCTCACTGGGTTCTTAGGACCAAAGGAGATGATTACTGTAGGATTGCCATACAGCACAGTGTATAAAAATTTTAAATTAGCAAGCCATCACTATACAGTGGCCCTCCCTGCGCATTCTGGGTTCTTCGTTCCCACCCTCCTGTCTCACTCCTGCTTTTTGAATCTGGCCGTTCGGTCCACTTGTGAACTTGACCGTAAGCCTGCATGACAACTTAACTCATTCGTTGACAGCAGCCTGCTCGTCTTGACCCATCAGACTAGTTTCTTGAGTATCCTTGGGGAGCTATCAAAACTTATACCTGGGTGGGGGCGCCTGGGTGGCTTAGTCGATTAAGCGTCCGACTTTCGCTCAGGTCATGATCTCGCGGTTCGTGGGTTCGGGCCCCGCGTCGGGCTCTGTGCTGACTGCCAGCTCAGAGCCTGGAGCCTGTTTCAGTCTGTGACTCCCTCTCTCTCTGACCCTCCCCTGCTCACGCTGTCTCTCTCTCTCTCTCTCCTAGAAATAAATAAAAATATTTAAAAAAAAATGTTTTTAATTATACCTGGGTGACTCAAATTTTTAAGCGTCTGACTCTTGATTTCAGCTCAGATCATGATCTCATGGTTGGTGAGTTCGAGTCCCTCATTGGGTTCAGTACTGATAGTGAGGAGTCTGCTTGAGATTCTCTCTCATTCTCTCTCTCAGCGCCTCCTACGCACACTCACATGCACTCTCTCTCCCCCTCAAAATAAATAAACTAAAAAAAAAAAGGAAATTACACCAGAGACCGTTGGTTTCTGAGGATCTATATCTTACCCTCCCAAAGAAAATGAAGATCAACGAGCCCTTCCATATTCCCTGGGCAATCAAAGACATCCAAATTTGCTGGGAGTCTGAACAGCTTATGCAACTAACATCCACCTTTTCGGCTCTTGTCATGGAGACACAACACTTTCAGGAAAGTGAGAGGCTGGTAGGGAAGCCTGTAGCATTTCCTTAGTTGAAGAACCTCATCAACTTTTCTCTTCTTCTGGCCTCCTCTGATTCACTCAGAAATGCACTACCGAAACTAGGTCTCTTACATGCCAGGGCAGGCATTTGGTCGCTGGAGCCCCCACATGCATCCCAGGGGAGCTAGTCCTGGCCGAGCTGTCCTCCTAAAGGTGGGCTTTGGGGAGTTACTCTGCTATAATATAATAACACCACTGAAATTCTAGAATACCATCTGAAAATTCAGACCATGCATAGTGAGGTTCTTTAACTCATTTGAGTAATCTTTATTATAGACACGTTTCTAGATAACCGTTGGGAAACAAAGCCAGCCCCATCTGGAAAGGAAATAAAAGGGAGGGATGGTTACGGAAAGAGTCAATATAACAGGTCCTAGACGTCTCCCCTTAGAAGTACCTGCCTGCAGGCCTGGTCCTTGGCTGGCATCAAGGAGATTGGCTGCCAAACAAGTCTCCGCACTGATGTCAAACTCTTCCTAAATGATAAAGGCGACTCCCTGCACGTAAACTGTTGAAACAATGTGGCTGATGCCAAACATCTGCTTTATTTCTGGGGCTCTGGAATTTTGATACATGCTGGGCAGAGGGTGCCTACCTGATCGTCCCCACGTGAAAACCCTGGGCACTGAGTCCAATGCTTCCCGAGTTGACATTTCACCTGTGCTGTCTCAATCCACGATGGGAGGAGTTAAGCACATCCTCTGTGACTCCTCTGGGAAAGGAGGCTTGGAGGCTTGCACCTGCTTTCCTGCAGCCTTCTCCCCATGCACGTTTTCCCTTTCCTGCTTCTACTTTGGGATCTTTTTCTTGCAATATAGTTTTTGGCTGTGAGTATGACATGCATGGCCTGTGAGCCCTTGGGCAAATGAGCAAACCTGACAGAGTCTGGGACACCCCAGCACAAAGATGATCTCAGGCTTCATGCATTTCCGTGTTAAGAATATTCTTAAGGATTTCTACCAAAATCCAAGAAAATGTAGCCCCATTCTATTCTGTAAGGGAAGCTGTCATAATTTTTTTTTTTTTAATCCCAAGTCTTACTAATGTGCTCATTCTTTAGTCCGGATGCTAAACTCCCTACATGTTTTGACCGATTGCACCTTGCGTTTATTCTGCCTGGTCTTCAGATTCCTTGCCTCCGTTCCCAATGCCTGTGGCAAGCCCTGTTTGTTCTGTTTACTCACGGGGACACATTTCTTTGGGCTCTGGACCTTGAGTTACCTGCTTAATATTGATTTTCACAATCTTCTGCTTTTACACATGTCCACAGGACAGGATGGGAAGATGTTTTCACTATCTCTTCTTAATCACTGAGCCACTCAATGTCTTCATCAGCTCCTCTGACCCCTACAGGGAGCAAATCCGGCAAAGTCCATGATCTCAATCCAGTATATTCTTCATGTAGATCTATTATGTTTATGTTCCTTATTTATGTATGTAAGCTGAAAAGAATTTAAAATCAGTATTTAACACCGAAGGTTAGAAAACTCTGAGTAATACCTAAAATTACCTTTTTATTTTTCTGAGACTTCTTTAACTACTAAGAAGACCTGAAAATTTAGACATCCAAATAGGCAACTCTATTATTCCCATCTTAGTAACTTACAAAAAAGAATAAGAAGATATCTGAATTCTTCTTATCCTTACTTTGAAAGGTCTATTCTGAAAGAAAAAGTTTCAAGAGAATGTACTAGATTTTAGCTCCTGAATGCTGGAATGTCTTTAAATTTTTTGCACTCTTACACTTCTATGAATCGTCAGAGTGGAAGGAAGGAAGAGGTACCATTCAAACGATGTGAATATACTACTAAAACTGAAATTCTTGAAGCAGAAATTCTGCTTCTGTGGCTTAATCATGTGTCACACATTGCAGAAGTCAGTCATAAGTGACTGGTATTCGAGAGCAGACGGGGAAGCAAAAGACTTATGACCTGGCCTAAGATCTGTGAACAAATGCTGAGAAGTTGATCTTGCCACATACCCTGATTTCACCGCAGAGGCAGGCAAAACCCAGTGCCCCAAGGGTGTTCCCGGGACAGCGGTGAAGCAGAAACATCAGCATAGGAGATGTGAGTTACACATAAACTCTCAGGGTGTCGCTCTGCATTTAAGTTGCTAATTTGTTTAAGACATGCTTCACTCTGGGGCACCTGGGCGACTCAATCGGTTAAGCATCCGACTTCGGCTCAGGTCATGATCTCACAGTTTGTGAGTTTGAGCCCCATGTTGGGCTCTGTGCTGACAGCTCAGAGCCTGGAACCTGTTTCAGATTCTGTCTCCCCCTCTCTCTGCCCCTTCCACACTTACGCTCTGTCTCTCTCTGTCAATAATAAATAAATGTTACCAAAAAAAAAAAAAAAAAGATATGCTTCACTCTACGTTACCATAATTAGCAGTTGGTAATTTTTGTGACCACTTCCCTGGGAAGGATCCCAAGTGATTCCTGACACCAAGTGATTCTTAACACTAAGATCCTTAGAAGAAAGCAGTGAATAGATTGTCTTGAACAAGATAAAGACAGGGCCAAAACTTTAGCTAGTCTACAAGCTATGTTTCTTCACGTTCTGTCTTCGTTAAGCCTTTTGATATAGATGTGGATACAGAGACGGACGTCTATGACTTTATACTTCCTTTGGTTCAACAGCTTAAAGTGAATTTATAATTCATCTAGAATTATAAGCCTAAAATCAACGTTTTTAAAGTCAGAATTATTATGTGTGTAACATCTTATAAACATTATTTAAAAGTTCGGGCAGAGTTGCTAGAACAAAACATACAGATGTTAGATATTGGGGAATCTATCTTGACCATTTACCTTGATCTTTCAGAAAAAATTCTTGGTAAAACTTTTCTCTGAAGTTGGGTTTTCTGGCCACGTAATCTTGACATATTACATGCACTCATTAGGCTTGATTTTCTGACTGTAAGAGAAGAGCCCCCATGTTGGGGAACCTATAATAGAGGTAGAACTCAGGTGTTGGACAGGTAAGTGGTAATTGAACAAGTCATGTCACGCAGACTATAGAATGTTCGTAGGGATTCAGGGCAAGTCTCCCAGGTACTAAATTAGATAGTCAGGCTGAACTTCGAGGTAGAGACCATGGCAGATTCTCAATCCTATCTAAGATGGGGATGAGAATGGAAAGGGGATTGTATAATTTGAGGTACACCTGACTGAGAAATCACTAACGGGATTTAAGGAGCGAAGCTGCCATTGCTGGGTCTCAGATCCCTGTTGGGGATCTTTGATGAACTATGCCCCACTCCAGGGCACAGGGGTATTTATACATTGATAATCTTTCTTACCGCAGTCAGGATTATCTAAACAGCTGCAGAGTCGGCCCTGTAGGTTATAGGGAGGTGGGTAGGAGGGGCACATGTCACAGCCCCAAGGAGCTTGGAAACAGAGGATCTGAGGGAGAAGATATGGTCAGATGGAGGGCTGACA